GGTCTGTTGCCCACCGTCCCATGTATCACCTGAGCCACAATCAAAAGAAAGTTAGTAAGGGGCAGTCCCAGCCAGAAATAGTTGCGGTCGCCTTCTTCATTCTTTACATGGTTCTGGGTAGACCATTTTAGTACCGGATTTTGATTGTGACTCACCTGGCATGTGAGATGCGGCTCGAGTATCCCAATGATATGCCCAGGCTTGACCACGATGCCTCATTGCCCGAAAGCCGACTTCATATTCAGATGGGGCTGTAGATCTGCCTTAAGCTTTGTCCAGGCTCAAGACATCACAATCTTCGGGGGTCAAAGGTTCTCATACAGTATGTTTTCGGAACTACTGTGGATGGACGAAATCCTGCACCACCTAAGAAACCCTTGTTTTTTTCTGCTGATTCCCATGTAAACATCAACAAGCCGGGGTTTCAATCATGGTTTCGTGGTGCATTTTATGGATTTCGCCGCCAGCAGTATGACCTTGGGCTCCCAAGTATCAATCACAGCAAAGGCCCGGGTTTTCTTGCTGGCGCTCAGCAGGGAATGAGGGAATACACCTGGGGATCCCCTTCAAGGAAACCATAGGGGATGGTTTTTCTCGCTGTCATTCCCTCTCGGTTTCCCTGATTTGATCCTTTTTTCGTCATGGCCCCAAAATGTGGTGGTCAATAAGAAGTATGGTTTTTTGTTTGCCAATTCACTCGGGAAGTGAGAATCCCTGAGAACCAGCAAGTCTTTTCCAGGGGCCAAGCCGTCCGCGTCGTCGGCAGTTGCGAGGAGCTGGGGCGAGTGCTGGAGGCATTGGATGGCTTCGCCTGGAGTGACGAACGCTTGGACCTGCTGCTGAGGGAGGCAAGCAGGGGAGGTGAGACGTTCTCCACTTGGAATGCAACGAAAAGGAGAAAGAGTGAGAAAGAAACCTTGGGTTGTGCAGTTTGGTTGGGTTATTTGATGGGTCTTAAATTAGGCATTGTTTGTTGGGGAGTCCTTTGGGTGTTACCTAGTGGATGAGCTGGGCTGGATGGTTGCCGCTTCTTTTGTTTGGTTTCCTGCAAGTGGGTAACATGTTTGGTGCAGTTTCCTGTGTATTTGTGTGTGTGTGTGTGTGCGTGTGTGTGTGTGTGCGCGCGCACGCATGTTTGTATTTTTGTTTGTGTCTATCTGTGTTTGTGCGTTTGTGTGTGTGTGGTGTGTGTGTGTGTCTCTGTGTCTCTGTGTCTCTGTGTCTCTGTGTCTCTGTGTCTCTGTGTCTCTGTGTCTGTGTGTCTGTGTGTCTGTGTGTCTGTGTGTCTGTGTGTCTGTGTGTCTGTGTGTCTGTGTGTCTGTGTGTCTGTGTGTCTGTCTGTGTGTCTGTGTGTCTGTGTGTCTGTGTGTCTGTGTGTCTGTGTGTCTGTGTGTCTGTGTGTCTGTGTGTCTGTGTGTCTGTGTGTCTGTGTGTCTGTGTGTCTGTGTGTCTGTGTGTCTGTGTGTCTGTGTGTCTGTGTGTCTGTGTGTCTGTGTGTCTGTGTGTCTGTGTGTCTGTGTGTCTGTGTGTCTGTGTGTCTGTGTGTCTGTGTGTCTGTGTGTCTGTGTGTCTGTGTGTCTGTGTGTCTGTGTGTCTGTGTGTCTGTGTGTCTGTGTGTCTGTGTGTCTGTGTGTCTGTGTGTCTGTGTGTCTGTGTGTCTGTGTGTCTGTGTGTCTGTGTGTCTGTGTGTCTGTGTGTCTGTGTGTCTGTGTGTCTGTGTGTCTGTGTGTCTGTGTGTCTGTGTGTCTGTGTGTCTGTGTGTCTGTGTGTCTGTGTGTCTGTGTGTCTGTGTGTCTGTGTGTGTGTCTGTGTGTCTGTGTGTCTGTGTCTGTGTGTCTGTGTGTCTGTGTGTCTGTGTGTCTGTGTGTCTGTGTGTCTGTGTGTCTGTGTGTCTGTGTGTCTGTGTGTCTGTGTGTCTGTGTGTCTGTGTGTCTGTGTGTCTGTGTGTCTGTGTGTCTGTGTCTGTGTGTCTGTGTGTCCGTGTCGTGTGTCTGTGTGTCCGTGTCGTGTCCGTGTCCGTGTCCGTGTCCGTGTCCGTGTCCGTGTCCGTGTCCGTGTCCGTGTCTGTGTCTGTGCCTGTGCCTGTGTCTGTGTCTGTGTGTGTGTGTCTGTGTCTGTGTCTGTGTCTGTGTCTGAGTGTGTGTCTGTGTGTGTCTGTGTCTCTGTGTCTCTGTGTCTCTGTGTGTCTGTGTGTCTGTGTCTCTTTGTTTCTGTGTCTCTGTGTCTCTGCGTCTCTGTGTCTCTGTGTCTCTGTGTCTCTGTGTCTCTGTGTCTCTGTGTCTCTGTGTCTCTGTGTCTCTGTGTCTCTGTCTCTGTGTCTCTGTGTCTCTGTGTGTGTCTCTGTGTCTCTGTGTCTGTGTGTCTGTGTGTCTCTGTGTCTCTGTGTCTCTGTGTCTCTGTGTGTGTGTGTCTGTGTGTCTGTGTGTCTGTGTGTCTGTGTGTCTGTGTGTCTGTGTGTCTGTGTGTCTGTGTGTCTGTGTGTCTGTGTGTCTGTGTGTCTGTGTGTCTGTGTGTCTGTGTGTCTGTGTGTCTGTGTGTCTGTGTGTCTGTGTGTCTGTGTGTCTGTGTGTCTGTGTGTCTGTGTGTCTGTGTGTCTGTGTGTCTGTGTGTCTGTGTGTCTGTGTCTGTGTGTCTGTGTGTCTGTGTGTCTGTGTGTCTGTGTGTCTGTGTGTCTGTGTGTCTGTGTGTCTGTGTGTCTGTGTGTCTGTGTGTCTGTGTGTCTGTGTGTCTGTGTGTCTGTGTGTCTGTGTGTCTGTGTGTCTGTCTGTGTGTCTGTGTGTCTGTGTGTCTGTGTGTCTGTGTGTCTGTGTGTCTGTGTGTCTGTGTGTCTGTGTGTCTGTGTGTCTGTGTGTCTGTGTGTCTGTGTGTCTGTGTGTCTGTGTGTCTGTGTGTCTGTGTGTCTGTGTGTCTGTGTGTCTGTGTGTCTGTGTGTCTGTGTGTCTGTGTGTCTGTGTGTCTGTGTGTCTGTGTGTCTGTGTGTCTGTGTGTCTGTGTGTCTGTGTGTCTGTGTGTCTGTGTGTCTGTGTGTCTGTGTGTCTGTGTGTCTCTGTGTCTCTGTGTCTGTGTGTCTGTGTGTCTGTGTGTCTCTGTGTCTCTGTGTCTGTGTGTCTGTGTGTGTGTGTGTGTCTGAGTGTGCGTGTGTGTGTGTCTCTGTGTTTGTGTGTCTGTGTGAATGGGGCTTCAATTTCACGAGGCAGACACGAACATCGACGGGAAGATCCAGTACGGAGAGTTTGTCCGCTGGCTGTTCACCGACGGCAAAGAGCAGGCCCTGGCGCATGGGTCGCTGTTGACATGGGGAAAGATGTGTTGCGAAAGGCATCCTTTGCCAGGCCCATTTCTTCCATTTCCATCATGCGAAACCTAGAGGCAGAAGGTCAGTGGTAACTGGAAGCACTGGGAAGGCTTCCTTTTTGCGGACCCATTACAGTTAGGAATGATAAGCGTTGCATGCTTCAAATATTGGTAGCCCTGTCATCACGTTCAGCGTGGGCGGCCAAGAGCAGTGGTAAGTTTGTTTCGAACAGTGAGGCTTTGAGATGAACACACCCAACCAGGGAAGTAAGAACACTTCTGACATGGTGTTGGTTTCTTTGGAACCAGCAGAGAGCTTGACATCGGCGACTTTTGATGTGCCCATTGCAGCCTTCTAAGAAAGCCTCACTGCATAAGTGCAGCAGACCGATAGCATCAGACCTTTTGCGAACGCGTCTTTGGGCAATATAGCGACCTCGTGCGACGGCGCTCTTTAACTTGGGGTTGCCCAGAAGTGATTTGCGAGGCTTTTGGGGAAATGCTTCGCCTCATGTCCTCTTTGCAGTTGCCACGTTGCCAGGCCGCCTTCTGTCGAACTGTCAAGGCAGGGGGCTCATGTCGATCTCTGCAGTCAATTT